CTGCCTTGGTCGCCTGGTTTCCCCGGGGGCGCTGTGCTGGGCCCGTCACCTCAGCGGGCAGCGGGGGAAGGGGCAGCCCGGCTCACCCGTGAAACTCGTCCCTCTGTGAAACCCCCTTCTTTTTCACACGATGAATTTATCAAACAGGGACTGTCCGGTCATACAGAAATACTGATTTTTAATTAGACGGCCATAAATGGTAAACTGTTGACATGGATCCCCTTTCTTTCCCACACGAAAATCGGTAAAACTGCGTGGACAAGGCAGTTTTGAGCTTTCGCACTCCCGATACAAAAAGCATATGAAATCTGTTCAACAAAACAATACAATTCTTTTATTTTCAAAAGACCGTATAAAAACCCGCAAGACTTTTGACATCAAAAATCCTTAACCTAAAAAAATAGCACCAGGGAGAGTTAGAAACCTTTAAAAAGTATTAAAAAGGCATTTCTGAAATCTACCTCTCCTTACAACATTTTTATAAACACATAATAAAAGGCAGCTCTTACAGGGAAAAATATTTCAAGGAAGACTTGTCTACTACAATTCTTATCAAGTAAGCTTAATGCCAAGACAATTCTCATTCCTCTTTTATCTTTGTTTACTTTCCCCAAGTCGTTTTCTTTTTCTCGTCTCGTTTTTCTTTTGATCAGATGGGAAAGGATATGAGATCTGGAATATGAAATTAGAGATGCCATGGAGCGGAGGTTACGTGTTAGCCCAGGTTGGGAAAATAAAAACCATCAGAGGATGCCAAGGCAGAGGATGGCCGTCACCCCCGAGGCCCCGCGTCGGGCTCCGTATGGGGACTGGGCGGAGGAATGAGCGTCGTGACTCGGGTCCAGGCTGGGCATTAAGGGTCAGAGGTTGGCGAGGGGTCCAAAACCAGCCGGCGCGGCGGTGGCGACGCCAGGCTTCCCGAACACCTCCAGCACCCACAGAACCCACCCCGCCATCTTCCCAGTCAGGGGGCTGGTGACAAAGGTGGTGAGGGGGGTGCTACTTGTCCCCGGGCGCTTGCCGAGCGTTACAGATGCCGGCAGTGACGCGCAGGAGACCGCTTGGCTTTTTCCAGCGTTTTCTTAACTAAGGCGCGTGGTTCGAACACACGTCACTGAGAACGAACCCCTGTGGGAAGACTTTAAAGAGTAACCTCCGGATAGGACCGAGGAAAAAAAGCCTTTAAACTACCTGGGCTTCCCTTCCTGCCCGTTCCCGAGTGCAGCCTTGGGTTGGAGACCGAGAGAAGACGGTCCTCAGAGCCTGGGGATGGGCACGGGGTGGAAAGCTGCGCACAAGAGTGGAAAATGGGAGGCTCCCTCCTCCAGGGAGGCTGCCGTCCTCCACCGCCCGTGAGGGGGGTGCAAGGGGTCCCCCGTGTGTCAGAGAGGTAGAAGGAGCTGGGAGAGAAGCTCTCATTTCCCACTGATGCTGTACAACACCTCGTGAGACAGCCTGGCATCGGGTGAAGGGTTGGCCCAACACAAAACCACACTTTGCACATGTCTAATTTTGAGAAGGCACCCAAGGACTCCGCCAGACTCAAGCGACAGTTTGTAGTGAACAGCAGAGGTAGGGGAGGAGAGAGGGACCGAGGGGGGAACGTCACGAGTTGTTTCAGTGCATTGAAATGTGCATTGGAGTTAAGAGTCCCCGGGAGGCGCCTGCCGGGACAGCAGCCCTGCAGCTATGGAAAACCTGGGGGAGACGGAGGGGCTCTGCTGCGCCCCCCCCGGACGCTGCCCATAGGAACAGCGCCCAGGACTTCACAGACAGCGAGATAATCACTCCGGTGAAGTTAGGGAGTGGAGGAGGGCAATCAAAAGCGAGCACGGCGGCAGCTGCAGGAGCTCCCGGTTTGGGGGTATGGCCCCGGGAGCCCCCCAGGGCGCTGTCAGGCCGGGGCTGGGCACGTAACAAGCACCAGCAGCATCCCACCTCTGTGCACAAAGTCACGCACAGGGAGATGGGGGCGCAGGGAAGGAGAGGTACAGCCCCTGCCTGCGGACCCCCAGGACCTGCCTTGTGCCCGGTGCCCCAGTGGCAGTGCCTGCAGCGGGGGGACGTGCACAGCCGCCGGCCGCAGCATCTTTCCCCCCGCGCTGCTGCCGCGGGGTCAGCTCCCCCTGCCCACGGAGCAGGATCAGTGCGGGGTGAGGCCAGTGCTGCGCTCCTGGACCCTACAGCCCCGCAGCCCTGCTGGGGTCGGGTGGGGTTTTCCCTGCAAGGAACGCCCTGCACCACAGCTAACCCACTGCCAATACTGCTCGGGTTCGTGACATTGTACACGACATTTTAGGGGGCTGCATTTTGAAGACGACATTGACCACTACACTATCCTTCCTGCCGATGCACCACATTCATTTGGGAAACGAATGCTCAGAGAACATTTTCCTTTATGGACACTGGAGCCCAAATCCTCCGTGCTCCGATTACTGTGTAAGCTTTCAAACCACTCAGCAGGATTTTAAAATGTAAGGAAAAGTTTTAGATGCTTTAAAAAGGAAGTAGTGAATATTTGTAAACTACAGCCAAACATATAAAACAATATTTCTTTAGTTCTAGCTAGAAAAGTAATTCTATCACCTCACAGTTCAGTTTTAGCTACATTCAGGTCTAGGAATCTCCACATTCTTACGTAATGCATTAAAGCAGCAATAGACATTAAACAACAAAATTAAAGTTTATCAAAAAAGTCTTAAAAATAAAAAATAAAAAAGATTTGGTTTCTGTATCTTGCATGTTCAGTGTATGTAACCTGACCAGGGTCCCTTACACCTGCTGCTGCAGTTTGGGGATTTTTGGCAGTTGCTTCAAGAGAGGTTTTGTTTGTTTAGGAAAAGCAATAATTCGCTATAGTTCAAGTTTGTCTGCAGCACGCCGGCAGCTGCCTCCACACTTACTGCTGAGCAAGTTGTGACTTTCCAGCTCTAGGCTAAAACGGAATATTTAATGCTCTGGAGGAGACTTCTCATCTCATCAGTTATGCATAGAGCTTCCTGCGCTGGGTAATTAAAGCTCTTTTGTCCATCATTTTCTACATATCACTGCCGTTAGTCCCTTTAAAGAAAAGTTACCCTGCCAGGTTCTTTGGTTAAAGACATTTCCTCAGCTCTCCCTGCGGGGCCAGGCTGCCTTCCCGCAGCATGCGGCCGGGGAGGGATGGTGCCATAGCAGAGTCCGGCGGCTGTGCCCGTCCCTCTCCCGCCACGGCAGCGGAGCTGTGCATCTTTACCAGAGAGACGAGGGACGCTCGGCTTGCTATTCACAGGCAAAGTAATCCTTGAGCGGGGAAAAGAGGTGCCGGATGACGGGGACACTCCACGATCTCCCCAGCAGCTTCTGGCGAGCCCCACGGCCGATGTTGGAGACGTCTGTGTAGTGGAGGGGGAAGCCAAAGATCCTGCGGAGCAGAGGCAGAAGCAGGGGGGGTGAGGCTTGGTGGCCGCCCCGCTCACCCCAGCACCCACCGGCCACGGCCAGGACGCAGCGTCCCTCTGCCCTATCCCCACATCCAGCCTGCGGCTCCCTCAAGCCCCAGCCCTGTTTTACAGTCTCGCTCAGCAGAAGTTTCTCACTGCTAGCACCCAGTGCTCCCCGCTAGTTCTCCGATTTTCTTGCCCCGTGCAGCAGAAAACACATACCGCTTTCCACTCGAAGCCCTGAGAGCATTCAGCAAAGGCAAGGCAGTTGTCCCTGCTCTGCCCAGAGCCAGCGGCAGACTCGCCCCAGGGCAGCAGCAGGCAACGGCAGAGGAGAGGCCACATCTCCTACCGCCCTGCTCCTGTGGATACAGGTAGCCTGACAAACCATCCCGTGCGTATCTGTGCAAGCTTATCTGCCCCATACGATTTAACCTGCTTGTGGACAGGGACCAAGTGCCCAGAGCCAGCTGTGGACTCGGGATGCGACCCGTCTGGCAGAGTCAAGCCAGGAATGAAGGAGCCCCGTGCTGCACCTGCTGGCCCGCAGAAATCTATATGGGGCAAGTATGTGCATGTGCCTCCCGCCCCGGACGTGCCTGCAGGCAGAGAACGGCGAGCTGCCCCGGCGGTTCACAGCACCAATGCATTTACAGACACCGAGGGCAGCCAAAATTAACCACTAGCAATGCTAAAATTTTCTATTACAGCTCTGGAGTCCACTAAGCTGCTAAGTTGCACTGATATACGCTGTACCGAAACACTAGTGTCCCTGGGTGAGCCGAAAGATGGACAAGAGATGTTGATGTACACCCTGATAAGTTGACAGGACAGCAGCAGCCCTGGGCAATCACCATCATCTCAGGTTTTGAGTCTTTCTGAAATTAAGAGACAATTTCTCATAGCGAGGACGCAGTACGGGACTCTTGTCTTACCAAAGTGCCCTGACGTGTAGCCCGTCAGGTGAAACACAGCAAGTGTGCCGTGCTTTCCTGAAGTATACAGTGATGTGTTCATCCCACCGATGGCCTCTCCTACAGCCACCACAGCTCTCCTACCGAAACACCAGTCACCTCCGCAGATTGCCTGCCTCAAAGGCTGGAGCAGAAGTGTCAAATACCGGAGCGTCGCTGCTCCAGGCAGTTGTCAGAGGGAGCAGAAGCGCTTGCCGTCCCGTGAGCTGCAGCAGGGTCCCAGCCCACCGCCACCTCCACCAGCACACCCAGCAGCCGATGCCCCTGGGAACACACCCCAGCAGAGCTCAGATTTCCCAGTTAAAGGGAGATGCTGGCAGGGATTAAGACCCCGGCATGCTGGCTCCATTTTAAAATTGGATTAGGAAAATAAAAGAAAAAGCAAAACAGAAGAGCCACCAATAAGCTCTCAGCCGGGAATCAGCACTAGCACTGAATACCGGGGAGTAAAAAGCAAACACTAAGTATCTAAAGACAATAGAAAATTCCTCCTCCCAGCTCTGCGTGTCAGGTCCTTATGCAGCCTCTCCGACTTGGCCGAGGTCAATAGATCACTCTCCAAGTACCCACCAAGCTGCTAGAGGTCGTTTGCCATAAATTCACAGCTCCTGCTCGCTCCAGCACATGCCAGACCAGAGCAGCTCCTCCCAGGGCAGGCACAGGAGCCCTTTTCCCCAGGGCAGCTCCCCTCCTGAGCTACCCAGAGAGGTAATAAGCTCCAGCAGTCTCCTACGGGAAGGGCACTCTGCTCCCCAGCATGGTCAGAGCCCTGTACAGCCTGAACAGTATCGCCCTCCTCGCTCGTTAGCCCTTCCTAATGGGGCTGGGCAGTGCCAACCCACTTTCCCCAATGCCCTTGGTAGCTTTTCCTGCTAGCGCTTTCGGAGGAGCCCTGTGCTGCTGCCGCCCTGCCTGCCTCTGCTCAGCAAGGCATCTCCGCAAGCATCGCCCCGGGCTATTTCATGGAGATAGCTCTGAGTCACCTCGCTGGGTGCTTCCACGCTGGGTGCTTCCGTCACAATCAGATGAAAGTTCAAGTGCCATTTAAACGGCATGACACTGACAAAGGTCCGTAATTGCTACTTCACTTTCAAATACCTACATGCCTCTAGCTCAGCTTTAATTAGTTTTAACTCCAACAAATACTAGCAATTTAAATATAAACAAGTAAAAAATATTTAAAACCAGTCTATGTTTAGTGGCTGAGGCTTTGGCTGTGCAAAAACTCCAGTTTTTGTTGCTAGAAGTATTTGGTATGCAGGACTGCTAGTAACTGGATTTTACTCTACTCCTTCTGTTGTGTTTTGCCATGAATTTGGGGTGCTACGAGGTGTGAACAAACTTTGGAGGAGTGAGTCATGCTCTGCCGCAGCAGCCGCCTGCCGTAACGCGAGCTTCCCCGCACCGCTGCACCGGGCTGAGCGGCCCCGGCCAAGGCTGCTGCTCGGGTTCATCTCCGGCAAACCCCTGCATGGCACTGAGCGGGGCACGGGGCTGCCATACAGCACCCCCACATCAGCCTGGGTCTTACACAAAGGCTGGTGCACATGTGCACCCCCAAGCTAGACACACCACGCAGCGTCCTGCGCAAGCCCTATCACTCTTCCCTCCACAGGCCTCAGGTCCGGGGGCAGAGGACGCTGCCGCACTTTTCCTACAGTCTCATCATTGCTCATTAACAAGCACATTATCATGTGCACATCACCGCAGGGAAAGTGCACCGTATGGGAGCTGCAGCTCTTCGGCTCCCAGGAGCTGGGCTTAGGGCCAAGGAGGAAAGAACCACCACACAAGCACCACGAAACAAAACAAAACTACAGGGAGAGATTCAAAACAACAGCAAACGATTACCTGTTCATCCCCGGAAGGTTGCCCCAGAAATAGCGTGCTCGGTGGGCAGCCGATATCTTGATAGCATCAATCATAACCGGGTTACACTGCAGGCCACAAGAGAAGGAAAAATAAAAGTTAGAGGGGGTGTGGGCTCAGCCCTCTCTTGCACAGGAAGCCCTTCTCCACTGTGCTGCAGGGACTTAAAAGTCTTCAGCAAATCCTCCTAAGGATGTAGCCCCAACAAACCTTTGTTCCACACCAGAGCACAGTCCGGTCGGCCACGTGGGCTCCCACACCATAGCCATGGCCAGCAGCTAATGAAAATCACAGCATGCTTCAGTGCCGATTTCTCTGGGCCAGGATCAGGACCGTCAGCCTCCGATGGGGCTTTTACACACGCGGGTTCCTGCTGACCCACAGCCCGTCTTGGCTACCAGAGTTAAAATCCCCTTCCAATCCCTGACCTCCCTCTCCCTAGAAATAACAGGCATTGCAAGGCTGGCAAACACCTTCCCCTAGAGAACTACTGCTTGGGGTTAACCTGCTGAAAGCCAGAGGGGATCCAGAGCCAAGACTAAAAAGTTGATTCCTGGCGCGTGCATCAGGCAGGGGGTTTTCCAGTGTCGGGGCCATACGAAACCACAGCCAAACCCTCGCAGCCTCAGCACACCTTGCACAGCCCAGCAAGTGTCTCCTGCTCCAATGCCTTTCCCGAAGCCGGCAGCAATCCCTACCTCCAGAAACCGAGAAATGTCCCTCTTGTCATTGACCCTCATGGCCACCATGTTCTCGAACATCCAGAAGAAGGGGCGCTCCTCTCCTGCCTTGGGACGGGCGTAGTTGAGCAGGTGGTAAAACTCAAAGAACAGCCTCCCGGTTCCTTCTACAAGGGAGAAAGATGGGAATGTTGGGACCAGCTGCGGCACGGGGGCACGGGTCCAGGGGGCCTGGCTGCCCTCCCCACCGCGACTGGCATGGAGACAGCCTGTGCTTTGCAGGTGCCACTCCATGGTTTGCAGCTCAGAGGAGAGCCACCACCAACACAGACTGGGGCTGAACCACTTCCCTGGACGTTAAGGTGGCTCCGCACCCCAGGAACACCCCAGGGGTACCCAGCCCTGCAGAAGCAAAGCAGCCTTACCATACAGCCCCTTCCTGGCCGGATTGACAAGGGAGAGGTCGTTACAGGGGCTTCCACCGATCACCAGGTCAAAGGGACCCCACTCCTCGATCTAGAGCGAACAGACAGACCCAGTTAGGAACAGCCACGTAAGCAGGTCTCTCCTCGCCGGCAGGGCAGGTGGCAAGCCCGTCCCAGGGCTGGTGGGGTGAGACCCATGTGGCCATGGTGCCACGTTCCCCAGCCCTCCCGCAGAAGCGGTGCTCACGTTTCTCTTGGTTATGTTCCTGACATCGTGCACGTAGGTGATGTTGCCCTCGTGCCGCATGGTGCCCACAGCAATGGGGTCTTCGCAGATCTCTGAGGCGATGTACTTCTCCACTTGGATGCCCAAGTCCTTCAGCACCAGGTACCCTGCCAAGGGACAGAGGTCTGAGGTTGCACTGCTCTCTTTAGTCTCCCAGTCTCCTTTGTCAGCACAGAAGCTCGATGTGGCCACTCTTGCATGTCCTAGGTGGGTGCAGTCACACAGGACTTCTGGATGAGCAAACTATTTTTTCGACCCATTCCTCCAGGCAGGTTTGTTCCCAGAAAGCAGAACTCTAGAGCTGAGTGAACTGAGTCAAACCAGTTGCCCTCAGGCACTTCTTCACCAGAGGCCAGGTTACCAGCACCCTGACAGCTCCTGCTTCTCAGTGAAACCAGCCACCCGAGACGGCACTCGGCGCAGCAGGAACCTTTGCGAGCAAAATTCACATACCCTCCCTCCATCCCTCCCTCCTCCACAGCCCTGTCCAGCAGGAAGGGGAGCCCCTGCCCTCATCCCCTTCTCCCCACCAAGCTTTCAGAGACAGGTTTGAGGCCATGAAACTATTCATCCCTGACATCCAGTGCTGCAAGCCGCCAGGACAGTGCTCTTCCAGTGCCTCACCTGTTGCTATGCCATCAAATAAAGAGAGCACTCGAATAGGTCTCCTCTTCGCTAGTGGGACCATTGGGTAGATTTTGGGTGCAGCCTGCAATGAAAGGACAGCAATGAAGCCCCAGCAGTGCTGTGATGCTCTCTGAGGCCAAACCTTGGCTCTACAGGCATCGCCTCTACCTTCAGGGGAGCATCTGCAGGGCCAAGAACCCAGCACCCTTGGAGAGCATGGATGAGCAAGACCAAGGCAGAGGGATGAGGAATTTTGAGTTGTTCGCCCTGCCCTCTGTGGCCCTCTCCCCCAAAGCCCAACACGCTGGGCTCGCCTGCCTGCAGCCCTTACGTATTCCTGTCCCTTGTCGCTGGTGAAGAAGTCCTGCAGGCGGGTGTTCCAGTCCTGCCGGCGCTGCAGCACCCCGTAGCTCCTCTGGGGCTGGCACATGTAGCAGTTCCAGGGCTCCTGCTCTTTTGCCCTGGCCGACGTCCCTCGCCCCACCAGCACCTCCAGACACTCCACGCAGAAGCACCTGCCCAAACCACAACGCCTCATGCCCATCACCTCCAGAAACCCCTCTGGGTCACCCCAGCCTTTCCTGGAGTCTCTCCAGCCATGCACCAGAACCCCCAGCCCATTTTGTAGAATGTTTTTCCATGCATTCTCCTGGTTTTTAAGGCTGCTAAACACAAGCTGGTGACCCGGGAGCGGGTAAAGCTCCTACCATCCTCCCCAGCGCTTATTCCGGTGCATAGTGGCTCAGCGGGGACAGGTAGGCTGGGCTGGGCTGTGTGGCAGCCAGCTGGGCACCAGCACAGCGCCCTGCCCAGGCTCGCACACGACCCTGCTTCCCTGCGGCTCCCCAGGAGCTCTGCTGCGAGCCCAACCAGAGGAGCAGAGACGGGGCCCACCTGCAGCAGCTGGCATTGCTGCAGAGCAGCAGCTCCTTGCCTTCACAGCAGACGGTGCAGTAGGACTGGTAGCCATCTTCATCGTACATGTAGAAGAGCTCCAGGAATCTATCCTAGCAAAAGGACAGCCGGGAGGAGAGAAGGACAGAGGATCAGGATCCGTGCTCAGAGGGTGAAGAGAGAACACAGCTTTGCTCCATCCCTGGTGCACGCCGAGAGCTCAGAGATGCACATCCTCTGTGCTTCAAGCAGAGAGAACATGCCAAGGGGCAGCCCCGTGGTGGATACAGCATGGCCAGGATCTGGCACAGTCACCCCTCCTGTCCCAACAGTGCTGGCTGCAGCGGGGCTGGACTCTGCACCCCATCCTCCAGCCCCAGGCTCCTGCTCAGCCCCGGCACGGCAGCACTTACCCTGCACGTCTGGCAGAGGCCCCCCTCGAACAGCGGGTGGAAGGTGGCTGGGTTTCTCCTCCCGCAGGACAAACAGCTGTCTGTGTGAGAGAGAGAGCTCTGCTCACCCCGGGGTAGGGAGCCCCATGCAGGAGTGCAGACCCCATGCCTCCGCACCACCGCGGGCTGCAGAGGCTGGAGCCTCTCGTCTGAACCAGTGCAGGTCCAGATGCAGCTGGGAACAGCATGGCCAGGATCATGTTCCTGTCCATCCCCCCCCCCGGTAAAAGGCCCCGTGGGGGGGAGCTGCACAGCA